CCCCCCCCCCCCCCTCAGCCTCTCCCTCCTTCCCACTGACAATGCAGGGACACAGGGAATGGGGGTTTTGGTAATTTATCACCCGTAGTTTCTATCGCTGCTCAGGGAGACAAGTCATTCCACTGCTGCACCGTGGGGTCCCTACCATGGGAGACAGTTCTCTGCGAACTTCTCCAACGTGGCTCCATCTAACGAGCAACAGTCCTCACAAAACTTCTGTAGCGTGGGTCACTCTTCCACGGGGTGCAGTTCTTCAAGGACAGGCTATTCCAGCCTGAGTGCAGGGCCCCTCTCTCCATGGGTCTCCCACAGGATTACAGTCTCCTCCAGGCATCCAGCTGCTCCAGCGTGGGCACCTCCTTCATGGGCTGCAGGAGGACAGTCTGCTGCTTCACCATGGTCTTCACCACAGGCTGCAGAGGAATCCCAGCTGCAGTGCCTGGAGCACCTCCTCCCCTTCCATCTTCACTGACCTTGGTGTCTACATAGTTGTTCTTCTCACGTGTTCTCACTCTGCTCTTCTCTGGCTGGAATTAAAACTGCACAATTTTTTGTTTTCTTTCTTCTTAAATATGTTATCACAGAGGCATTACCACTATCTCTAATTGGCCCAGCCTTGGCCAGTGGCATGTCCACCCTCAGAGCCATCAGGGATTGGCTCTGCCAGACATGGTGGAAGCTTCTAGTAGCTTCTCACAGAAGCCACCTCTGTGGCCGCCCCCACTACCAAGAACCAGGCCATGCAAAGCCAACACACTCTGCTTGCAGTACTTTGTCAAAAAGTCTACTTATTTACCAACATGAAATGATATCAAACACAAACAGGAAGAAACTTTCATGGTTTGACCCCAACAGCAACTAAGTACCAGGTTGTTGGGATCCAATTATTAAAAGATGTCTCCACCCAAATTAAGGTACAAATGTGGCCATATGCCAAAGTCAATAGTATGGATTTTATTTAACAATAAATGGGGGGGGGGGGGCAGGGGGAGAAAGAGAGAAAGAGACAGATTAAGTAGAGAGATAGCTACCACCATGTGGGTCCCTGCATCATCCTGCTGGCCTTTACTCTTCTGGTCTTCTCAGTGGTGGGGGTCCACTGGTTTTCTTCTGGAGGTACCACTTATACAGTCCAAGTCCCAGGTATCCACAGAGCATAGATGGTGTTCCCACAACCTGGGCTGGCATGTGTACAAGGACTTCCTTCCTTTCTCACAGTTTTCCATGGTAGGAATTTTTGTCCAAATAGGTTACCCACATCTGCCTCACCAGGCCTGGCATCTTCCTTTTCTTGACATCTGCACTTATCACAAGTTTCTACAGTACAATTTTGTCTAGTGTCCTAATTCCAAACCTTCTCCTCCATGTAGACCTGAAATTAACACCTTCCTGTATTCCAACTGTGCGTGTTTTGCTGGCTTACCTTTTGGGAATTTCCTTCTTTGACAGTGTTTTGAGACATTTTACTGCATTCTTTAAGTCTTGACACATGCAGCCACTCACTCCACACAAGGGAAAAAGAGAATAAAAAAAAAAAAAAGTAAACCTCATGGGTAGAAATAAGAACAGTTTAATAATTGAAACAAAAAAAATGCAATAAAATAAAAAAATAATAGTAACGATAATAAGAGTAATGAAAAGGATAGAGAAATAATAATAAAACCCAAGAGAAAGAAGTTATGCACAATACAATAGCTTATCATCTGTTGACCAATGCCCAGTTAGTCCCCTCCTGGCCAACTCCCCCCAGTTTATATACTGAGCATGATGTTCTATAGTATGGAATATTCCTTTGGCCAGTTCAGGTCAGCTGCCCCAAACTGCAGTGTCTATTCCTACACCTCTCAAGTGGATGGACTACAATATGGGGACTGGAGGAGCGAAGTCCCTCCCACTGTAAGAGAACATTAGGTCTGTGATAGCTTAAAGAACTTGAACATATGGGACCTGATGATATGCATTCCAGAGTCCTGAGGGAATTGACTGATGTAGTGGCCAGACCACTCTCCATGATATTTGAAAACTCATGGCAGTCAGGTGAACAAGATAAAGGAAAAATCACACCCATCTTAAAAAGAGTAGAAAGGAGGACCCCAGGAACTACAAACCTCATCTTTGTGCCTGGGAAGATTATGGAACAGATCCTCCTAGAATCTATGCTAAGATACATGGAGGACAGGGAGGTGATTTGAGACAGCCAACACAGCTTCACCAAGAGCAAGTCCTGCCTGACCAATCTTGTGGCCTTCTATAATGGAGTGACTGCATCAGTGGACAACGGAAGGGCTATGGATGCCATCCATCTGGACTTCTGTAAAGCTTTTGATACAATCCCTCACAACATCCTTCTCTCTGAATTGGAGATATGGATTTGATGGGTGGGCTGTTCAGTGGGTGAGGAGTTGGTTGAATGGTCACATCCAGAGGGTAGTGGTCAATAGCTTAGTGTCCTGATGGATACTGGTGACAAGTGTTCCTCAGGGATCTGTATTGGGACCAGTGCTATTTAATATTTTCATCAGTGACACAGACAGTGGGATTAAGTGCCCCCTCAGCAAGTTTGTAGATGATACCAAGCTGAGTCGTGCGGTTGCCAAACTTGAAGGACAGGATGCCATCCAGAGGGACCTGGGCAGGCTTGAGATGTGGGCCCATGGGAATCTCATGAAGTTTAATAAGGCCAAGTGCAAGGTGCTGTACCTGGGTAGGGGCAACCCCTGGTATCAATACAAGGTAAGGGATGAATGGATTGAGAGCAGCCCTGCCAAGAAGGATTTGGGGGTGCTGGTAGATGAGAGGCTGGAAATGAGCAGGCAATGTGCACTTGCAGCCCAGAAAGCCAACCACGTTCTGGGCTGTATGAAAAGAAGCATGACCAGAAGGTCAAAGGAGGTGATTCTGTCCCTCTGCTCCACTCTTGTGAGATCCCACCTGGAGTACTGCATCCAGTTCTGGAGCTCCCAACATAAAAAGGATGTAGACCTGCTGGAGTGAGTCCAGAGAAGGGCCATCCAGAAATGCCAGTAGGATGGGATGCCACCCAGAGGGACCTTGACAGGCCTGAGGGGTGGGTACGTGCAAACCTTATGAAGTTCAACAACACCAAGAGCAAGGTCCTGGACCCGGGTCAGGGCAATCCCAAGCATAATATAGGCTGGGCTGATGTGGACTTGGGGTTGTTGATTGACGAGAAGCTTGACGTGACCTGAGAAAGTGCACTTGCAGCTGAGAAAGATACCTATATCCTGGGCTGCATCAAAAGAAGCATTACCAGCAGATTCAAGGAGGTGATTCTCCCCCTCTGCTCTGTTCTCGAGAGACCCTACCTAACTTAGAATACTTCATTCAGCTCTGGAGTCCTCAGCACAGTAAGGCATCAGCCTGTTGGAGAGAGTCCAGAGGAGGACCATGAAGATGAGAGGGCTGGAGCACCTCACCAATGAAGATGGGCTGAGATAACTGGGACTGCTCAGCATGGAGAAGAGAAGGCTCCTTATAGCAGCCTTTTGGTATCTAAAGGGAACCTACAAGAAAGCTAGAGAGTGACTTTTTACAAGAGCATGAAGTCATAGAGCACTACATACGATATGTCATAAAAAGGCTTGGTGAGGTCATGGTGACCACTGAAGGTCAACCCATCACATTTGCAAAAAGTTTACTGAACAGTACAGAAGTATACAGAAGTATACTGAATGTATGGATTTTTCTTAGCATGCAAGTAAATCTCCCTCTGGAGGGAAATAGTGATTATTACTGGCCTATAGTGAGGGTAAAATAAAATAACAAAGCTCTCGTTTAAAATATTTAACAGTTATTTCAAAATGCAGAAGTTTATTTCCCCATTGCAAGTTCCTTTGAGCCATCAGGCATCGACATAATTTATTACTGTTTTGAAAAAGGTCTTGGGATGGTACGCTTAAAAAAGTTATTGTGTCCATAATTAGTGGTATCATGAGATGTAAATAGTACATGTGACTGTATCTGAGTGCTTGATTATAATTATGGTGAAACAGAAACATCCTTTAACTTTGTAGGGAATTTAACAGAATAACAGTCTAAATATGCAACTTCTTTGTGTGATTTAAGGCTGTTGCTTTTTAGTGACATTTTTGTAACAGAATGACAAGCAATGCTGTACATTGGGAAAAGAAATTTGGCCTTCCAAAAACAGGCTGACATTAGCATGTGGGATACAGTTGCCCAAGGGTGTCCTGATACAGTGTTATTAAAATTCAACAAGAGTTATGGAAGGAATATATACTTTTTCATTCAAATTTTATTCTCTTCTGCTCCTTACTCTATTTTCCCTTGTGTCATTACTTTTATTTCCTTTCTCTTTTTCGCTTGCCATGGTTTTACCCCAACTGGCCACTAAGTACCATGCAGCCGCTCATAAGTTTCCCCTCAACCCTGGTGGGATGGGGAGGACAATCAGGAAAAATAATCATGGGTTCAGATAAAAACAATTTAATAATTGAAACAAATAAAATATAATATAATAATAATAATGGCAGCAAAAAGGTGAGACAGATTTCCAGCCTTCTTGGCCTCTTTTGCTCTTCAGGACTGCCTCCCAAGGAACTCTCTCAACTAGTCTCCTTAACAGGTCAGTCTGCCCTCCAGAAGTCCCAGGTGGCAGTTCTGCTGACACCCCTCCTTATTTCTCTAAGAATTGAAAACTCAATCATTTCATGATCACTATACCCAAGACAGCCGCCAATCATCACAGCACCCACCAGTCCTTCTCTGTTTACAAACAGCAAGTCCAGGGCGGTGCCTTCCCTAGTTGGCTCTCTCACCAGCTGTGTCAGCAAGTTTTCTTCCACACACTCCAAGAATCTCCTAGGCTGTTTTGTCTCTGCTGTATTGCATTTCCAGTGGGCATCTGGCAAAGTGAAGTCCCCCAGGAGAATGAAGGCTAGCAGTTGTGAGACTTCTCCCAGTTGCTTATAGAATATTTCATCTACCTCTTCATCTTGGTTGGGTGGTCTATAACAGACTCCCACCGGGATATCTGCCTTGATTGCCTTTCTCCTGGTTCTTACCCATAAACACTCAACTCTATTTGTGCCATCATCAAGCTCCAGACAATAAAAACACTCCATAACTTGAAAATGTTTTGACTGTCCTATGGAGGCTTTGGTGCAAAATATGCTTTAAATTAAATGAGGTAAAACTTACGTTCTCAGAGGAATGTACAAACACATGGTAACTCCCATTATTGATGTGTTTCTCTCCTCTTTAGGTGCGCTTAATGATCACAGATGCTGCAAGACACAAGCTCCTTGTACTAACTGGACAGTGCTTTGAAAACACAGGAGAACTCATTCTTCAGTCAGGGACCTTCTCCTTCAATAATTTCATTGAGATTTTCACAGATCAAGAGGTGTGTTCAGAAAAGTGTTTTCCATATATTGTCATGTGATGGCACAGGTTTTTAAGAGACTAAAATTGGCCCTCTTGTTAGAATTAACATTAGCTAGCTAATGCTGATGCTTTTTACTCTTTATTATAGGCTTTCTTTAAAGACATTTAATTTACTTCAGTCTTGATGTAAATTGCTTTACAAAGGAATTACATTTTAATTTGGGGATATAAATTGCAATTTCAAGAAAGAGAAAACCAAGGAACATTTTGACAATGGAAGGAGACAGTGTTGTGTTTAAAATATACAGCTTGTTTTCCAAGGTGCACTTACAAAGCAGTTGAATTTGACAGCAGGTTCTTGCCTGATGGCAGTTAGTAATAAATAAGACAGACTATCTGTTAGAAAGGCTCTAGTTTTTGCACCACCTACATGTTTGGCTTCCTTACTGTAGTGTATAACATTTTGATAGTGAAATCTAAATATTGTGGGATTTACAGAAGAAAAATATAATCATGAAATATACCAATATTTAATGCTGTTTCTTTCATGACTTGTTATTTTGCTATTTTGCTTAATGTATTGTCTGAAAGTCCTTGTAGGGCAGGAACCTGTAGTAAACAAGCTGTCACACTTAATTTGGCTGCTGTGTAAAATATATATTTAAATAATCTGTATGGCTTCATCCCTCAGTATTTAGTTCCCAAAATTAAATAGGAGCATTTCAGTGGAGTGTATTTTGAAAGTTCAGCACTGACAAAAGTTTGCATGAGTTCCAGTGTGACCTTGTTGTATCCATTTGGGAACAGACTTTTTAGCAGGGCCTGTTGAAATAGGACAAGATGTAATGTTTTTAAACTAAAAGAGGGTTGATTTAGATTAGATATAAGAAATATTTTTTTTTTACAATGAGGGTGGTGAAACACTGAAACAGGTTGCCCAGAGAGGTTGTAGACCTTCTACAATAAGGTCACCCACCTAGTGGATGATGGGAAGGTGATGGATGTAGTTTTTCTGGATTTTAGTAAGACTTTTGATACTGTCCCTCACAGCATCTTTCTGGAAAAGTTGCCCAGCTATGGGATGAGTGGGCTTATGGTGAGCTAGGTGAAGAACTGACTGAAGGGCATGGCTCAAAGGATTGTAGTGAATGGGGCTATATCTGGCTGGTGACCAGTCACTAATGGTGTTCCTTAGGGCTCAGTTCTAGGGCCAATTCTGTTCAATATATTTATCAATGATCTCAATGCAGGAGTTAAATGCACTGTTAGCAAATTTGCTGATGATACCAAACTGGGAGGTGCTGTTGACTCTCTTGAGGAACAAGAGGCCTTGCAGAGGGATCTACATAGATCGGAGCATTGGGCAATGAAATTTAACAAGTCCAAATGCTGGATTCTGCACCTGGGACGGAATAATGCCAGACACGAGTATAGATTGTGAGATGAGTGGCTGGAGAGCAGCCCTGCAGAAAGGGATCTGGACATGCTGGTTGAGAAAAGTTTCACTTCAGTTTTTTTTTGCTTTGCTTTTTTACAGAAAAGCCATGTCTGACATAGGAGTGAGATTTATACTCATATCAAATGGTTGCAATACAGCAAAGATAGAAAACATGTATTTTCTGCTTTAGTTATTGGCATGATAATTTTTCTTTCAATTACAGCCATTGTCTTTGTTGCATTTTATTATTGGTAAATGCTGAAATAAATTATGTAACACAAAGAAAGGAAGCAAGACACACAGAGGAACACAGATCTGCTGCAATCAAGCATCTTTTTTTATATATCCATTTCTTCTGCTGATTCAGTTTGTAGTCCAAGACTTTCAAATTATTCAGCTGCATTCTAATCTATTATCTTTATGAAAGCTACTCCTATATCTTGAACTAGCAATTGAGTGTCTGCAAAGAAGGTTGGGGTATTTTGCATGATACCATGTGGGTATATTTTGCATTGAATTTTATGTCTGAATTAATTCTATAAAATTTATATAATTTGGTGGTCTCTTTGTTAAGTGCAAATAAAACAGAAATGGGCTACATTTGACCTATTTTCCTGTTAAAAAAAAAAAAGTCAAATGTGTCTGTTGAATTGGAAGAACATAAAAAGTATATCATACCTTTTCATGTTTGTGTACTAATGTGGAAACACCAAACATTGGTTTTTAGTTCAGACTGGAATAGAGCAATAGCTCTTCATACTATGGCATAGAACGTTTTCTTTTCTGTGCCTTTATTTTAGTAAATCATGTTAGTACTAGCATGTTGCGGTTTAGGAATGGTACTCCCCAGTTTAGTGCCCCAACCAAGACTCTCCCAAACCAGATCCCACTCTCTCCCCCCCACCCCCATTGAAAGCACAAAAGGCAAAGATCATGGGTTGAGAAAAGAACAATATACTGGAAACAGCAATGAGATAAGAAAACTAACAGTGACAGCAAGAATATTAATAATAAAAGCTGTAAGACAATGAAACTATTTACATGGAAAACTTTGACAAATACTGACTGGGTCTTCCTGACCACAGTTTTCTCCTGACCAAAAAAAAGTTACTCTCCTCCTCTGAAGCCAGAGAGAGTCCCTTTCCCCCATCCCTAGCAATGACATAAGGTGGTATTGAATAACACTAGGGTCTGGCCATGCTCCCCTCCTGACTACTGTAAAAAATTAGCCCTGTCCTGGCCTAAACTAGGGCACATATTTTCAAACACTGTCAAAATTAATGGAGCTTTTCTAGATTTTCACTTTTGTGATCCATGAGTTGAAAATAAAAATAATGACAAGATTGTTTTTAACCATAACACTTTTTTTCTGGCTCTTTCTTTATCACTGAATTAAATTTTTTTTTATTTATAAGACTATATATATAAAGCATTATAAATATATATTGCATAATATAATATATGTATTTATATATATATTTGTCATAGCTTAACCCCAGCTGGCAACTAAGCCCCACATAGCGGCTTGCTCATTTCCCTCACAGTAGGATTGGCGAGACAGTCAGAGGGGGAAAAATGCGAGAACTCGTGGGTTGAGATAAAGACAATTTAATAGGCAAAGCAAAATAAAGAATTAGTTCACTGCTTCCCATGGGCAGGCAGGTGTTCAGCCATTTCCAAGAAAGCAGGGATCTATCATGAGTAATGGTGACTTGGAAAGACAAACGCCATCATCCAACCCAAACATCCTCCCATTCCTCTTTCCTTCCCTAGCTTTATATGCTGATCATGACATATGGTATGGAATGTCCCTTTGGTCAGTTGGAGTCAGCTGCCCCAGCTGTGTCTCATCTCAACTTCTTGTACACCCACAGACTATTCATTGATGGTGTGATATGAGAAGCAGAAAAGGCCTTTATTCTATATAAGCCCTGCTCAGCAACAGCTAAAACATCCCTGTGTTATCAATACTTTTTTTTTAGCACAAATCCAAAACACAGTTCTATATTAGCTAATATGAAAAAAATTAACTCTATCCCAGCCAAAACCAGAAAAATAGAACATATATAAATATATTTGCCTCACAATCTCAGAAATACAAAACTTGTAACTTTTTGCATTTTTTATGGAATAAATAATTTATTAGTGTTCTGGAAAACTGTCCTGCAGTCTGGGAGTCAAGAGTTAATCTGCAGAAAGAGCTGTGGTGTTGTGAAATACATGCTGTGTAAGGAGAGGGTGTGGAAGGCAGCTGCTCCAGGAGGATGCTAGCCTCCTCTAGGCTGCAGTTATTCTTTCTGCCTGTTAAGAGGATGTGCTGTTTCCCTTAGATATTTGTCTGGCTCTTCTGAATGGACAGGGGCAGCAGGGAGACTCGTGAGCCAATGGCAGAGTAGTGGCAGCTCTGGCAACATTAGCTTCATAGTCCTCATCCCCTCTAAATTAAAACTTGTACTGTTCTCCTGTAAAGGGTAGAGGAGGCAGGGGAGAACATTGGGGTACTTTCCCCCTTTAGATAGTGAGGAAGGGACATTTCCTCATAAGCTGATCCTTTGTATTTTAAAAAATACAGTAGAAAACTAATTGTGATAGCTGGTTCCTTTAACTTCTAGGATGGGTACTCAACAGTGCAGAAGCGAACGAAAAAGGTTTTATCTGATCAGGAGCTATTATGTCCTGATATTAATTGTAATTAAAAAATGAATTTACATGCATCTTGTGGTTTTGTTTTACAACCTTAGATTGGTGAATTATTGAGCACCACACACCCTGCCAACAAAGCCAGCTTAACTCTTTTCTGCCCTGAGGAAGGAGAATGGAAAAATTCCAACCTTGACAGACACAACCTTCAAGACTTTATTAACATTAAGCTCAACTCAGCTTCCATATTGCCCAAAATGGAAGGACTCTCTGAATTCACTGAGTATCTGTTAGAATCAGTAGAAGTGCCATCACCCTTTGACATTTTGGAACCTCCAACTTCAGGAGGCTTCTTGAAACTCTCCAAACCCTGCTGTTATATTTTCCCAGGTGGAAGAGGTGACTCTGCATTGTTTGCAGTGAATGGATTCAACATGCTTATCAATGGAGGATCTGAAAGAAAATCTTGTTTTTGGAAACTTATCCGGCACTTGGACAGGGTAGATTCCATTCTACTCACTCACATTGGAGATGATAACAGCTTCAAGTTGAGAGATCCCTTATGTCTTCACCAGAGGATTTAACAAAGGATTTTGAGGAATTAAAAGCTGAAGAAGATGAAACAATAAAAGAAACAAAACTTCAAGTTGCACTCATAGAGGATAATCTAAGACTCACTGGCATAGAACAAAAAGAGACCTTTGAAGTACAAAAAGAAAAATTAGATCATGAAGGACCTGCTGAGTCTTCTGATGAAGGCATAACTACCACAGAGGCAGAGGGTGAGTGTGAACAAATACCTGAGGAACTGGAACCAGTGGAAAAGCACAGAGTTGATGACCATGCAAAGTTTGAAGATGAGGGAACTGTCTTAGAAGAATCATATGAAGGAGGAAATTATGAGGAAAAGGCAGAGACAGAGGAAGCTGAAGAGCGAGGTGAAGATGAGGAGGTAAAGACACAACTGGTCACTACAAAACCATATATGAAGAAAGCAAGAAAACTGCAAGAGAGTTCAGAAGAAATAATGGCTGATATTAAAGCCGAAAAATATATTGAAAAGGCAGATGATGAGGCATCAGATGAACAGGCTGAGGAAGATGTGGAAGAAGCAGTAGAAAAGGCAGAAACTGAAGACACTGAAGAAGACAAGGAAGACAAAGCAAAAGACTTTAAAGATGAAGAGGACACTGGAAAAATACAAGCTGAAGAAGACTGTGTGATGGCTGTAGTAGACAAAGCTGCAGAAGCTGGTGAAGTTGAAGATAAATATAGCCTACTTATACTTACATCAACAAAACACTCAGAGCCTCAGTCTCCAGAAGTTGAACTGGCTTCTTCTGTCCATGATGAAACATTACCTGGTGGCTCAGAAAGTGAAGCCGCTGTTTCTGATGAAGAAGATAGAGAAAATGCACCTGAGGAATTCACAGCTACTTCAGGTTATACACAGTCTACCATCGAAATAGCCAGTGAACCAACTCCAATGGATGAAATGTCTACGCCCCGGGATGTGATGAGTGATGAAACTATCAGCGAGGAAAGTGAGTCACCTTCTCAAGAGCATATGTACATTACCAAGTATGAGACGTCATTGTACTCTCAAGAATTTGCTAGACCTAAACTTTCTCCACTTCCAGTTGCTTTTAATGGATTATCAGAGGGATCCAAAACAGAGGCCACAGAAGGTAAAGATTATAATGCCTCAGCTTCTACCATCTCACCACCTTCATTAGAGGAAGACAAATTCTGTAAATCTGCATTCCAAGATGTATATTGTCAAAAAGAAATTGAAATACAAGGCACTGACAAATTAAAAATCAAAGAACCCTATCCAGAAGATGGTGGAAAACACAGTCCAGCCAAGAGCCCAGCTAAGAGTTTGTCCCCTCTATCACCTGTTGCCAAAACACCACTGAGTGAAGGTAGTGTGAACTTTTCACTTACTCCCAATGAGATCAAAGTCTTGGCTGAGCCTGTCCCCATTGCTACATTGTCTGATGTACATCAAGAAGTTGCCAAAGAGCACTGTGCAATCCCTGAAGATAAAACATTAGAAGTAGCATCTCCCTCACAGTCTGCTCCTGGTAGTGCTGGCCACACGCCTTATTATCCATCTGCCACTGATGAAAAATCCAGTCAGCTTCCCTCTGAAACCAGTGAAAAGTCAACAGAAGTTCCTGTTATCTTTGAAGTCAGTGAAGACAAAGATGAGTCTGCCAAACCCAGAATTAGCCCTATGGATGAGCCTGTGCCAGATTCAGAATCTCCTATTGAAAAGGTTCTCTCACCTCTACGGAGTCCACCACTGATAGGTTCAGAGGCCACTTATGATACATTTTTAAGTGCTTATGTAAAGTCTCCCACCAAAGCTTATGGAAATCCTTCTGAGGGGAAACCTGAAAAAAAAAAATCACCTGTTCAGATGAACCCAGCTTCTGAAGACAACTCTGTGAGCCTTTTCCAAGAAAAACAAGGCGAAAAAAGTATGGAGTGTATGGTAATTAAGGAAGGTTTCAGCCTAGAAAGGAAAATGGAGGATACAATACCCAGCAGCTCTCAGTCTTCACTGGTCTTGAATCAGCAGAAGTTAGCAGGTGATCTCTCACCAACTCAAATAGATATCGGTCAGTTTGGTTCCTTAAAGGAAGACACCAAAATGTCAATTTCAGAAGGCACTGTTTCTGACACATCTGCAACTCCAGTTGATGAAGTTGTAGCAGAAGATACCTATTCCCATATAGGAGGAATAGCTTCTGTCTCTACAGCATCTGTTGCTACTAGTTCATTTCCAGAACCAACTACTGATGATGTATCTCCTTCTTTGCATGCCGAGGTTGGATCCCCCCACTCTACTGAAGTTGATGATTCCCTTTCAGTGTCAGTTGTACAAACACCAACAATGTTTCAGGAAACAGACATGTCTCCATCTAAAGAAGAATGCCCAAGACCCATGTCAATTTCTCCACCAGATTTCTCACCTAAAACTACAAAATCAAGAACCCCAGTGCACAACCACAGATCTCCTGAGCAGTCAACTATGTCAGTAGAATTTGGTCATGAGTCCCCTGAGCAGTCTTTAACAATGGACTTTAGTAGGCAATCTCCAGACTATCCTACTGTAGGCACTAGTATATACCATATATCTGAAAATGGACTGACAGAAGTAGATTATAGCCCTTCAGATATACAGGACCCTATTTTTGCATGGAAGACTTCCACTGTGGAACAGTCATCTTACTCTCAGGAGAAGGATATTTCAGAAATTATTTCAGTTTCTCGAACTGAAGCTTCATCCTCGACTTCATCAGCTCATACACATTCCCAGTTAACTTCTCCACTGCCAGAAGAAACCTTTTCAGGTGCTGTTCCACCCAGACATATGTCACTACATTCTTCTTTCACTTCAGAAAAGATGCAGAGCCTAGGAGAAAAGCTTTCACCAAAGTCTGACCTGTCTCCATTAACTCCAAGGGAATCTTCTCTGTACTCTCCTAGTTTTCCAGATTCACCTCCTGCAATCACAGAAGCTGTGTCAGCTACTCACACATCTTCATTATCTTTGCAAGTGTCCTCTGTCAAAGCATTTAGTTACCAAGAACCCCTAACAAAACACAGTCCAGAACTTTTAATCAGCCCAGAAAAAGAAGATTTAGAGAAAAGCAGCAGGTCACCAGAACAACCTAGTTATTCTTACAAGGTCTCAGAGAAATCTGTTGGGTTACCAGAGGATATTAGCTACTCCTATGAGGCAGTTTCAACATCTAGATCACCTCAGTTCACAGATTATTCCTATGAGATGACAGAGAAAACTATGGGGTCACCAGGAGTCACAGATTATTCCTATGAGATAATTGGGAAAGCTACCAGATCACCTGATGCTGTGGATTATTCCTATGAGACAACAGGGAAAGCCACCAACTCACCTGAAGCCACAGATTTCTCATTTGAGACAACTGGGAAAACCACCAGGTCATCCAAAGCTACTAACTATTCCTATGAAGCAAGTGCACATTTTACTCCAGAAAAATCTTTAGCAGAATCCCATCAAGATGTTGACTTATGTCTTGTGTCCTCCTGTGAATATAAACATTCTAAAACTGAACTTTCACCGTCATTTATTAACCCAAATCCCCTTGAGTGGTTTGCAAGTGAAGAACAGTCTCAATATCAAAAGAAACCGTTAACTCAATCTATGAGAGCTCAGCCACCTTCTGGGGGAAAGCAGCAAGGGTGGCAGTGTGATGAAACCCCTCCCACATCCATGAGTGAGTCTGTCCCATCTCAGACTGATTCAGATGTTCCCCCTGAGACTGAGGAATGCCCTTCCATCACTGCAGATGCTAACATTGATTCTGAAGATGAGTCAGAAACCATTCCGACAGACAAGACAATTACATACAAACAAATTGACCCACCACCTGCCCCAATGCAGGATCACGGTCCTTCCCCTAGGCACCCTGACGTCTCCATGGTTGATCCAGAGATTTTGCCCACTGATCAGAATTTGGGTAAACCTTTGAAGAAGGACCTCAAAGAAAAGACAAAGACAAAAAAGCAGAGTACTAAGACCAAGTTGTCTTCTGCTTTTAAAAGAAGTGATGGTAAATCAAAACAAGTGGCTTCACCGAAACCAGCTGTAAAGGAATCTTTGGACAAAAATTCCAAAACAGTTTCTCAAAAAAAGGAGTCTGTGGAGAAAGCAACCAAAAATATCTCTAATCCAGAAGTAAAGTCTCGAGTGGAAGAGAAAGATAAGGACACCAAGAATGCAGCAAATACAACAACATACAAGTCAGCAAAGACTGCAACCACAGGTAAAGACAGGAGTTCCCTAATGTTAAGATTTTCTTTGTTGTTACAGTGAAGTTAGGTTGCCTTTACATCAGCTGACAATGTGGTTGGTAGCAAACCCCCAAGGAAAGTTCATGTTTTAAATATAAATCTGGCATATTATAGCTACATTTAAATGAATGAAATTCACTAAATTAAGTTTTGCAATCTGATAAATCTGATGTGTCAGTTTGCTAAGATGCAAAGAATTAGAGAGGGTACATCAAATATAAAAAATTTAATACTGTCTGAATTGTTAACCAACTATTAGAATTAAAAATACCACTTCTGTAGGTGAAACGAAATCAGTAGTGAACTAAATTACATTATTCATAGTAAGAATCAGATAGGCATAATCTTCTTAACATAATGTGATGCAGTTCAATATTGTGAGAGGCATAGGTACAATCAGACATTGGATGCTTTTATTACTTTGCTTGAATAATTTAAAAAATAGTATTTTAAAAAAATTATAACAGCAGTAAGAGCACTTTTAATGAGCTGAGCATGTACATCACATAATCCAGTTATGGTCAGTTGACCTTGGCTGGACACCAGATGCCCACCAAGCTGCTTGGCCGCTCCCCTTCCCAGCTGGACAGGGGAAAGAAAATCAGATGGAAAACAACATTTAGATAAGGCAGTTTACTAAAGTGAAAGCGAAAGTTTTTACACTCACAAGCAAAGAGAAAAAAAGAGTTTATTTTCTGCTTCCCATCAGCAAACAATGTTCAGTCACTTTCCAGGAAGCAGGGCTTCAGCTCATGCAGCAGTTGCCCTGGAAGGCAAACATTGTAGAATAACAAATGCCCCCTTGTTCCTCCTCTCTCCCTTAGCTTTTTTATCTGAGCTGTTGTCAGATGGTATGGAATATCCCTTTGGTCAGTTTGGGTCAGCTATCCTAATTGTGTCCCCTCCGAGGATCTTGCCCACTTCCAGCTCCTTGATGGGAGGGAGGCAATGTTAGCACTGACGTTGTGCCAGTGCTGCTCAGCAGTAGCCAAAAGACTGGTATGTTGTCAACACCTTTCTAGCTACAAATGCAAAGCACAGCACTGTAAGGGCTGCTATGGAAAAATGAACTCCAGCTCAGCCAGAACCAATACACAGTTAAAGTTTTACCCCATCAGTGATGACTAAATATCCAGAAAACTAATGTAATTTTTAATTCCTGTTGTGTATTCAAAGTAGTAATAAAATATGAATTAGATTACCAAAGGAGACATTGTGCTAGTATTTTGTTTCTGGCACATCTTGTTAGAGTGTTTTGGGGATACTTGGATTTTGCTGTTTTTAGGACTTATGTTTTATTGAAAACTTTTTACAAGGAGCAAGTGTAGGATTCAGTACAAGCAAACCAGCATTCAAGTCTCTGTAGCTTCATCATTTTAAGTGGTCCACTATTCCTTTCTTACACAATTATTTGCATGTCACTCCTAGTAGACGTTTTTCAAAGCAGCAGTGCAGTTCCTCATGCTGTACATTTCTCCAGCACTTCAGTTTTATATTAGATTCTTATTCCTTGAGGCATGCTTCTGGGGTATATTCTAACACTGACTACAAGGGTCTATTTGATAATGACATTTAAGTGTAATGTCTAATAAATTATGCAATGTTAGCATATACAATTCAGAAATATGTATCACAGAATTTTTATGATAAAAGATGATAAAAGTTTTTTTTAATATACCCAATAGTTAAAAACTCTCTAATTAAGGAAATCTTATCATGTTATGATGCTTATTTGACATATTACCCTGTGATGAATGGCAAGTCCTTCTAGACAATTGTATTGGACTTTCCTGTATTTTCAATATGTAATCCTAAATAGAGTACATTGTACAGATAATTTAGTTTACCAAATGCAATGGGTTGATGCTGGCTAAATGTCAGTGCACCTAAAAAAATTATTTATTCATTTTCTTCTGCTATAGTTAAGCAGAGGAGGGGAAAAGAAAATTAATGGGGTGAGATAAGGATTAGGAGAAAAACACTTTAAGGGCAAAACAGAATTAAAAGGTATACTTTAAAAGGTATAAAGAAAATTTTATTAACAGAATTAAAAGAGAATAATGAGAACAAAAAATAAACTCTTAGAACATCTTTTTCCTCCCCCAGCCCTTCTTTCTTTCTCACCAACAGTGCAGGGAGATAAAACATGGGGGTTTTATTTAGTTTGTCACTTCTAAAAATTTTTCGTCAGTTTACTTAGGGAGAGGAGTCTCTTTTGTTATGCCATGGGGTCTTTCCTACAGGAAACAATTCTCTGTGAACTTTTCCAATGTGGTTTAAATTTTCACGGCTAACAGTTCGCCCAGAACCTGCTTGCAACGTGAAGTCCTTCCCACGACAACTGCTTTTCGTGGGCTGTTTAGCTTATGAGGTGCAGTTTTTAAGGATGAGTTGTTCTAGTATAAAAGCAAGGGTCTTCTTTTATTTCTGAAAGCAAGGGTTTTCTTTCTCTCTGTTCAAGCCTCTCACCCGATCACAGCTTTTCAGTATCCACATGCTCCAGCACCACTGCCTTTTTCTCATGGGCTGCGGGTGAATGATGCATCCTCCCCATGCACTTCATGAATGACAGAGAAACAGTTTGTTGTATTGTAATTCTCACCAGGGCTTACAGAAGAGAACCCTCCCCCCCCCCCCCCCCCCCCCTTGTACTGACGTTAGTGTAGCCTTATTGTTCTCCTCACGTGTCTTCACTTTTTCCTTTTCTCGGACTCAGGAGAGAATCAGTGTTCTTTGGTTCATTTGTTCTCAAGTTCTATCAACTGAAACCGTTTATAGAGTTCTGCAGTGCTGAAAGGTTAATCTTGTCCAGGCTCTGCAAATGGGGAATTGCTCGCCGTGCTTCCCTCTCTCTGTCACGTGGTCTCTGCCAGCACTGAGCAAGCCGTGCGGGCTGCCGGCTCCACTCTCCACCTTTTCTTCATGAGGGACGCCAAGAAAAGAAAAACTGCTGCCTCCGCTTTTGTCTTTCTGTCCACAGCATGGCTGGTTAAAACCAGCTACGTAAATAAAGTCCATTGCAAGCCATGCTGAAGGAACCACAGCGGTGCGGCGCTGCCCCAGCTGCATGGTTGCTCCTGGCGCCGGGATGGCCCCCAGCAGCATGGCCCAGCAGCCACACCGGGATGATGTCCAGTGGCCCCCTCTGGGAAGGGGCCCCAGCCTGCCCCTCCACCCCTCTTTTGAGAGCAGGGAGCAAGACAGCTTCCAGCAGTTTTTTGTTCTTAATTATATTATCATAGAGGCATTATCAGCGTTTTTCTAATTGGCTTAGCAGTGTGCTAATTCTCAGAGCTAGCCAGCGATTGGTTTTGCCAGGCAAAGAGGAAGCTGCTAGCAGCTTCTCACAAAAAAATCACTTCTATGGCTGAGTTTTTTCCTCTTCACCACAAATCAATTAATGCAAAACCAGCACACCAAACTTTATCCTCTGTAACATCATGAAGAGATCAATAAAACATAAATGGTTGTTATAAATGAAAAATAAAAAATAGCCAATTTTAATAAAACTATAAAAAAAAAATAAAATTTATTTCAAGACTGTAATACAGTCCCGACAGCCACCACCCAAAACGGACAGCGTATCACCCCCGGTCGGTGATACGGGTGAACATGAGAAATGGACTCGCTAATACCAAATCTACCCCGTCCACACCAGCTGCTTCGAGGCAGCAGTTCTTATACAGTTTATTTCGCCCGCGGCAGGATGTCTTTGTTTCTTTCTGAGTTCTTCATATTCAAGTTGGTTTCTTTCTCTGGCTTGGGCTGCACAAAGCCTCCATCCGAGAATAGGATAATACACTTCCCCGATTCCCGGAATCCGGCATTCAGTCTGCAGGTGCTGATGGCTCTGGTTATCTCAGATGTGTATTTCGTCCGGGCCATCATCTCCTGGGTGTCACTGGGCACATACCTTTAGTGAAGGCCCATCTCCCGTGTAGCCAAGGTTCCCTTCGAATGCAAATGTCATGGTGCCCATCTGCTCTGCTTTGGTTTTTCCATCCTGAGGAAAGGGATTCTTCACCCCCCCCCCCGAGTATTTTATACACATATATTTTTATACAACGTTTATTTCCACGAATTACTAACTATATTCCTAACAATGGTGATCATCTAGATGAAATTACTGGTTGAATCCTGATTGTCAGTTCACACCATGATCCAGTGTGCAGCAAAAGCAGCTATTTTTGACTTCTTAGAACAGATACTATGCTATGTATAGCAGAAAAACATGCTTCCCTCTACTTTTTGTGATAAGTGGCTAGTTTGTGTATGCAAATAAGGAACCAGCAGGCAAACAAACACTTGTTCTCAGTTTCCTGCAGTAATTGATTTAAGAAGTTTCTCTTTTCTTACACGTTCCACCTTGCCCCTCTTTCTGCTCACATGTAGTATCTCCCTGATGCACCTGTAAGACAGTTTGAACATATCAACAACTACTATGTCTTGGTATGTGCTGATACCCCAAATCTCAGGACCACTTCTGCATTGCTCCCTGTATGACCCTAGCTTTTATAATCATGCATACCTGAAACTTTCAAAAAGTTGTACTTCTTAAATCAGAAAATAATACTGCCATTTATTGAATGGTAATTCAGTAATCACAGACCTGCATAGTAATTGTTGGATAATAGTATATTACTGGGAAAGGTTTGGTCAAATGTTGATTATATGGTAGTGAGTTTTTATTGTATTATATAGTTAGTTATTTTTATTCTATTTTTTTTCCTCCCAGTCCAATTGCAATTGGCATACAACAAAGTTGGAATGTGTTAGATGTAGGAGGGTAATGCCATAAGTGTTTCAGGGGACACAGAAGTACAATAGTAGCTATGTAATGTTTAACTAAGACAAGCAATTTTAAGAATATAATCTCAGCAGTTATAGTGGTAATTAACAAATGCATGTTTTAACTAGCCTGTGATATGTTCTTTTGTTGTTTGATTTCCAAAGGAGCTGGGAATAGTAAGTCATCAAATTCTACAGCAGTGCCTCCAGGACCTCCAATGTATTTGGATCTGGTGTACATTCCCAACCACAGCAACAGCAAGAATGTTGATGTTGAGTTTTTCAAGAGGGTGCGGTCATCCTACTATGTGGTGAGCGGGAATGATTCTGCAGCTGAGGAGCCAAGCAGGGCTGTTCTGGACTCCCTGCTGGAGGGCAAGGCCCAGTGGGACAGTAATATGCAGGTAGGCTCTTCACTAGTATTTCTACCTGGAAATGTAATCTTCTCTGGAAAGCAACTACAGGAAGCCAGAGTGCCTCTGGAGTGGGCAGTAGCTGCTGGAGACAGGAGTTCCCAGCTTGGGCGCCTTGTTTCATAAGTGATGTGAGAGGACACCCAAGTGAGGGACAGAGCTGCACCATGCTCAAATGCTTCTCCATTTCTGACCCTTCTGACCTGTCTCTGGAGAATAAAACAGTTGGGAACTGGTTTACAGGGCCATTTGTCTATTAGATCTTGTTGCTATACCATATATGATCCAAGTTTGGAAACCTTGCAGGTTTTAAGTAGGAAAGAAAAGTGAATGTTTCATGGTTTATATCATCAATGTGTACTCATGGAAACTTCATATGCCTTTCCAACATGATAAATAAGTAAACAAAATATTTGGCCATAATCTGAAGAGCTATCAGTGCAGACTACAGACTGCTGCTTCTCTGGAAAGTTGCACCTCAGCACCTTAGATAACTAAGGTTTTGTTTTGATAAACTGCTGGTTCTCAGTCATTTTATGTTATATACATATTTATTTTCTTTTATCCTATCCACTCTTTCCAAAAGGGAATCATAATTGTTGGCAAAGACTTCTTAAAAAGACATTTTTCTTATCAGTTGCTTCTGTTGTCCATTCCTCAGGAATTCTCTTTTGTGTTGCAGGTGACCTTAATCCCTACCCATGACTCAGAAGTGATGAGAGAATGGTACCAAGACACCCATGAGAAACAGCAGGACCTCAACATTATGGTTTTGGCAAGCAGTAGCACTGTTGTTATGCAAGATGAATCTTTTCCCGCATGCAAGATTGAACTGTAAGAACCAGACCATACACTGCAAGATTTACTTTTTGTCCAGAAATTCTTCAGTTTGAAAACACCTTTTCTAAAAATTTAACCAATCTATTTCAGCTGCTGAACTGTATACCTGCAAAATTCTAAACCCTATCACAGTGATGCAAGTCACAAAGATTTTTAGTCTTTGCTGATTACTAAGGGAAATAACAGCATTCCCATAATAGGGTCAAAATTACTGTGAAAATACAGATCCAGTTTCATCTTCACTGAATGTTTGAAAACCATGTACTGTAGGAATGCGCTCCCTAATGACAGAGTGGCAAAACTAACCTTTGTCCCCCAAAAAAGGAAAGAAGCCCAGAAGCTTCTCTCAACTGTTAGGTGGAAAGCCACCTTATAGGGCCTCAGGGACTTCACCAAACACTAGAGAACATCTAATTGGATAGAAGCCAAAAAGTCCCGCCTGATCAATCAAGTAGAAAAGAACAGAACAAAAGAGAAGAGGGGCTTTTGTGTGAAGTGTTTCTACCAGGGGCAGACCTCTGTACCTGGCTCGAGTTTTTCTATTTGTTATTTTGCCTTTATTAAACCTTTTTTGTTTCTAACACCACAGCAGAAGCCATCCTGCTTATTTTATGCCCCCAAAGCAGTAGCTGAGCTATCCTTGGGTGTATTAAGTGTTTTTCTAGGGCTTATGAGAACTGGCCCGGGACAAACAACTTAATAATGTACTAGCAACTCCAAGTGACTTATGCCAGGCAGAGGCATTTGCCCTTTAAAGAATTACAAAGAGAGAAAAAGAGAGAAAGGGATAGGAGGAGAAAGTAATAAATAATTACATCTCCAGTAACCTCATGGCAACAGCTGTATCGCTTACTGTAGTTTATGCACTCACATGAAAAGGAAGTTTGAAATGTGTATCAATATGAGCTATTGCAAAGGAGGTCCTTACTTTACAGAATTAAGTTAGCTGCAAAATAAGCAGAATGTGGCTAGGAAGTGACGTATAACCTAAATGCTTAGCAGTTTTCCACTTTAATTTGAACCCCGCATACTGACATCCCATAACAATCATAGGCCAAATATGCATGTAGTCTGAACCTCATTGTGAATTCTAAAACCTTTACTTCAACATGCAAAATTGTTGATCTAAGGCATGCTCCCAGTAAAAATCCACTCACTCCAGTCAGAACTGACTAGTACACATGCTTAAACACCCATGTCCACTGTCAATTAACTAAAACAAAATACCAGAGCAATTGGGAGTACATACAGTAGACAATTTGCCTTAGAAAGTGACTTGAATGTACAAAGAAACTTGATGCACTTATTTTTTAATGTTGACACAGGAAATTTATAAAACATCTGTGTAGGATCATAGTTGCACCAGTAAAGAAGTGTGAGTGTGCATGAAGTGTATACTAGAAACCTATCTGACTGGTCAAACAGCTTGGTGCTATGAAGTACATATGTTAGTTCTGTGAACAATTCATTGATGCACCAGGACAGCTCAACAAGGCAAGATGAGCATTTTTTTAAAAGGTTCTTTTGTACTGTGGAAGCAAGATTGAAGTGGTCTTCACTATCAGAGTTGCAAAACTTGGTAAATATTCCGGATTATGAAGAAGATTATCTGTGAGTCTGTACAGTAGTCAATCTTCCCCCGTCTTACCTTATTTGTTTAATTTAAAAGCATATATGGGTACAAACATACAGAAAACTTTTTTAAAGTGCTGCATGAACTTTTAATAGGTTTTTAACAAAAGTTTTCATTTAAAGGAAAATTAAAAGAAATTTTTTTCAGGCCAAGGCAATTTTTTTAGTAGTCTTTTAAGATAAATCAATGTTATTTAAAGTTCTAGTGAGAATGGATATTGAGGTAAGATTTGTTGAAAATAGTCAACTGCCTTTTTGGAAGCAGGGGGGAAGGGGGTCCCTGGTGGAAAAATTAACCTATTGATGATGACAGATAAATGGGATTTGAAATGCTGATTGCCTAATATTTACAAGAGCGTAATCTACATGTTCAATCCCCCCAAGATCTTGAAAAAAGATAGAATAAATGATAAGCTAAAATAAGTTTCTTTCTTCCTTCTGTCTCTTCCTTTCTCCCTTCCCTTTCTTCTTTAGACTGCTTGCAGCAGAACAGCATGTAGAACAGTTATGTCATTTAAGACAGTTTGAACTTTTTAGTCTCAGAAGTTTTATCCCAATTAAAAAGTCTTGTTACACTGTAGAATGTTTTCAAATCTGAATTTATAGAATGTGTAAAGGCCTCCAAAATGAAAATATGTGCTGGTGTGTATGATTCACCATTATGGCTGGTATTAAGCTTCACAATGTAGTGAACTATGACCTCATTTTATTTTCTTTACTTATAATTTGTTTCAATTTTACATTTTTAGGATATTTTTGTTTAATAGGTATATGTTTACACTCCTAATTTTTATGAGGGGTTTTTTAGTATTGCTTTAGGCCCCTTTATATGTGGGCTCCTGAGGCCTATTTAATGCTGTGGACTACTGTTTGTCCATTGTTGAGGTTTTTGATTTATTTTTAATGGCTTCTTCATTTTAGGTATCTCTAACAATGCAGTTTTATTTATTGCTATACCTTTTAAGTTGTGAAGAATTTCACTCAGAATGACTATGGCAGAAAAAGCAGATGAAACTGTATTGTGAAAACAAGCATATTTGCTGGGCTCATTCACTTAAAATGGCTTTTGTAATACATAGTCTTCCAAGTTATAGGCAAAATCTTTGGAAGAATAATTGTGTTGCCGTTGAGTTAGGAACGGCTGAAAGAAAGCAACATTGACTCCATGCTCAGGAGGCATAAAGCGAGCTTTATTAGGAATGCCACATATTTTATAAGCAGGATCCTTCACCCAGAACCTGATTGGTTCTTAACAACACCCCTCACACCATTGGTTAATTAGGAACAACACCTTCTTTCCATAAACATCACGTACAAGCATTCCACATGTTCACAAACACCAGGTGCAGAGACTAAGATAAGAATCGTTTAAATTTTTTTCTCTGAGTGTTCTCACAGCTTTCCCCAGGATGATGCCTGGTAAAACTATCTGTTTCTCTCTCTAAACTGTCGCATCCACATAATTGTACAATTTTTACAATTCTGCTTTGTCTACATTCTTATACAGGTCAGATTTCAAACTTTTTAAGTGGGTGGGAACTGATTTTCTGATAAAATCTGAAATGGTTTGTACCTCTGCTTTGGTAGAAAATAGAAGTACAGCAATGGTCCTGAGTTTAATCTCACTTATGCCACTTATTCTTGTGAATCAAGAAAAATTTCACTACAATGAGGGAAGTTACAGTCATTAGGTCCTACTGTAAATGAAATAAGAATCAAGCCTTAAATCTGTCCATGTAAGTTTGTGATGGATCAAGCATTTATTTTACTTTAAAAATAATAATTAGGCAGTTACAGCTGTTCTTAAAATATTTATTTATCTTTTGCTTTTACAATAATATTAAAAACCCAGTCTTACTATTCTTAGGTATTGTAATGCCTGTTCCATCCATTCCCTTTTACATATTACTCATGCCTGGGCATAACACAGCAGTGAACTCCTCCATTAGCTCCTCTTGCCTTTATGTCTTTCCTGCTTGTGGAACTAATCTAACTGTACCAATCACTACACAATTAGTTTAGAAACTGTCAGAAAAATGTTGTGCGTACATTAATGATGAATACTGTTGATAAGCATAGATTTCTAGGAGCATGGTTTCTTATTGATTAATTATAAAAATTCAGTAGGACACACCCTTTAAATGATGATATTACCCATAAAAGCATCCCCAGTCATGATCTTCATGCTATTACTATACTGCTTCATAAAATTCAATGAAGAATTATTTTAAAGGTCACACCGCACTCCTGAACTTAGGGCCTCTCTTTCATGCCTTTTCAAAGTCCTGTGGTGGGTCTGACTTCACTGGCCTCTACTTTTCATTCCATCTTTCATAAAATTAATTTTTGATTTTTTTAAAATTATCTTGCATACTCTGGTGAGTGGAACTAACTGCATATATGAATGGGTTTTTAAAATTGTTTACAATAGCTTATGCATTTTAGGAGAGTTCTGGTACTCATTTACTAAGATTGAATCAATTTTTTAATTTGAATTTTCAATCCATCCTACCACAAGAAAATAATCTCCAAAGAACACTTACTGTGCATATAGGATATTTCTGTCATATGCTTCTCTTTGTTCATCTGTTGCAAGAGGTTCTTGCTATGATGTTTTGAGAGAAATAGTAAGTTTGTTTCAAATTTTTAAAAAAGTCTGTTGTGAATTTACAAAAAAAAAATCTTAAAAAAAGGTAACTAGATAAAAAAATTGGATAAAAATTCTGAAACAAAAAAAAGGAGAAAAACCCCAACTTCTCTGCTCTAAACTATCTAGGAGGTCCAGATGGCAGAGCTAACTCTGCAGGACTGGGCTGAAATCACAACTGTAAAAGAGGAAATCTGAAATATGCTTTCACGCATTTGCATGCAGCCATCATCTTCCAAACCATGGAAAGAAATAGTCTTGTTGCTGGCTGAGAAGCACCTCACACACCTCCTCTCTTGTTCTGAATGGTGTTTATGTCAGTCTGCAGCTATGTATGGTATTATGTCTTATAATTCTGCATCACTTCTATCCAGTCATATCGAATGTAGAAAATTAGTTTCCAGTGAGAGTAATATGCAATGCTTTTATTATATTTGTGTGCAATGTCCCCTCTTCCATTGAGCATATTTGATGTAAAAGAACAAAACACAGTTCCACAATAAAATACAAAAGTAGTAAAGCAGTATTGACATTTCTTGTCTTTGTGTATGTAAGTACTTGTAAGTTTTCCCTTTCCTTCAGTCATGATTACCTACTATATGGGCTTTTTCTCAAAAGTTCAATGACTATTTAAATGCTAGATAAGAACTAATCTTTATTTAGAAACTGAAAAATAAATTCTAAAAATTAGTTTTTTCTCTTGTGATGAAAAAGCATTA